ATCACAGGTAACTCTTTTTCTCCCTCCCCTTATGCCTCTGGTAACTGGTAATTAACTTCATTTTTATATTAATTTGCCTTTATTGTCTTTTTATATAAGTGAGGTCATACAATATTTGTCCTTTTGTGATTGACATAATTTCACTCAGGATAATGTTTGTAAGCTCCATCTATCCTGAATCATGTTTTAAGACCTCATTTTACCTATTCACTAATAATCTCTTGTGTTCATTTACCACTTTTTGTCTATGCACAGAATTACACTCTAATAAACTAATTCATTATATGAATCTTAAATGCTGTAGTTGAATTTTGTTAGTGTATTCGTGTGATGTTAGTTGCAGAAACCCAGCACCTTTTTTTCTGCCTCATGATAATATTTCCTGTCAATTTTGCAGAACTTTGAGTTCGCTTCCTTCAGCATTTAAATTACATAGAAGCATTAAACCAGAAGTGATTTATAAACCATAGAATTACAAATATTCAATGAGTTTCCTCTGCTTAGTCTGGCTTTATTTTTTAATGAAAACATGAGCATTTAAGTTGTTCTCTTATCCCAAAGTCTGTTCATTTTACCTTAGCAGATGCTGAGATGGAAAATCTTAACACCAGTCTCTCATGGAGAAGTGAATTGTAAATTTGGGTAAAGTGAGAGAGGGCATAGAAGAAACATGGAGCTTTGAGAGTAATACTACTTTTTAATATTATTTTTTTGAGAAGAATAGGTGATAATTATAGTGGTGTGGATATCTAGGCATGTATGTTGAAATAATTATGAAGGCCAAGACTTCAGAAATCTGTGCAAGATAGAAAAATTTGAGTTTGTGAATAATATCAGAAAATTATGGGCCATATGATCTTAACTGTAGCCTATCACTTTATCTGTATCCTATGATAGAGTGTTATTTCTAAAACAATGTTTCTTCACCAGGGATGATTCCTCTTCCCTGGGGCATTTGACAGTGTCTGGAAAGAGTATTGGTGATGAAGACGTGGTAGAGGGTTATCTCTTGACATCTGGTAAATAGAGGACAGCGATACTAATGCACATCCTACAGGGCAGAGAGCAGACCCCACCATAAGCGTTTAACTTTCTTTCTTCAGCCCATGTTGGTCTCCGTTCTCTATTGTCATCGCAAGAAATATTATCAAAGAACTCTGTTACACAAAGTCAGATGTGTTGGTTTGAGAAAGTTGCTCTGAAATATTATATATTTAGTTTAATTTTTTTTTTTTGCCCTGTAATGCTTTGAATGTTTGCTTCTTCTGCCAGTTAATACAAGAAAAGACTTATGGTCCAGATCTGCAAATGGAAACTACAAATTAAGAATGCTGCATTTGGGCTGTAGGAATTGGTTATCACAAGTTTGCGATATGAATGATAATAGTTCTCACTTAGCCAACCGTATCATAGTCTTAGCAAATTCTAAATCTAGTTCTTTTTAAAAAAAATCATTTTATTGGGGTTCATACAACTCATCATAATCCATACATACATCAATTATGTAAAGCACACTTAAACATTTGTTGCCCTCATCATTCTCAAAA